GTTGGCGCGAGGAGACCTTGCGGAAAAATCATACACACGGTCAGAAACGATAGGCCCCCATCGTGCCATTGACCAGGTAATTCAGCGGCGCGTAAAAAGCAGGCATAAAGCGCGCCAACAGAGCAAGCCTCAATTCTGTCCTCCTCTACTCCATTCACAACGAAGCACCATGACACTTGATTGTGCCTCGTTTTTTTTTTCTGATCGAATATAGACGCGAGAAGTAATTTAGAATGAATGAATCGAGCTGCTAGGTACTTCAACAATAAAAAGAAAAGAAAGGGAAGAGAAAGAAATCTCGGGAAAATAATTTAAAAAACAAACTGGTAAAACATAATTTTATTGGAATTTCATTCCAATGTAAAATTTTTATGCACTACATAGCAAACAAAATCGGCGTGCCTCTCCTTCATCTAGAGAAGCAAATCTAAATGAAATTAAAAAAAAAAAAATTCGAGAGAAAGGATTTTAGAAACGTTTTCGCGAGGCAGATCGTCCGCGAGTTTCTCGCGAAAAAGCACCGATGGAGTTTTCGCAATCGTTTACGGAGGCAGTTGAGAAGCGGACTCGCGCGCTCGCGAAGGATGTAATTTATCTCGCGCGTAGTAGCACGGCGAAGAGGAATCGAGGGGGACGCGGACACAAACCAAGGTGGTGTGACGTGACCAAGGAGAGATTTAGACGCCGCCGTTCCGCCAGTGCATCGCGCGCTAAAAGTGCATTGTTTCGGACCGTACAATAGATATAAATCCAATCCCCCTACGTGTGTCGCTGACACATGCGTGAGCGAAGTACAATAACAAAGTACAAAGAGTTTCTCGCGCACGCGATGCATTATGCCACTCATTAACATACCACTTTCCTATCGTCATTATTATTAGTACATCGCGAATAATCGCGTATATTTTTCTCCTTCTTGCATGCATCGACACATGCAGTACCTTTCATTAAAAAAAAAGATTTATGTCAATTGAATGAATCACTCTCAAAAAAAGGACATTTCCGACTTTTAATGAGTAAAATTGATGGTTGCCTACGTGAGATTGTGTCATTATAATATTATATTTTACATTACATGTAAAATCACAGTAAAAGAATATAATAGAATTAATTTCTCTCATGAAAAAATATAATGATACAAGATATACATGCGAATCTTTATCGGCTCAGAAATTTTCATTATCACAATCTTTTTCCGCGTCGGCTAATTAAATCAATCAAGGAAAACTATAAACGAGCACACTGTCGCATTTCAAGATTGCAAAGTCATGAAAAGTCGGAATTTACCAACGGTTCGTTAGCGTCGTGTGCGAGCAAACATGCTCGTAACGTTCACAAGTTACTTCCGAGCCGGCAGGAACATTAGCGCGAACTTTTGCGCGCGTTCAACCGGTCGCTTCTAACAGCGCCGTAATTTGTCCACTGGCCTCCAGCGTAACTGAGACTCCGTAAGGGATGTACTTTGTTACAGCACAGCTGTGTAGCTCCTCCAGGCTGTCAACCCTCTAAATTCTTTATTAGATCGGCATGGACTGGAGCTTCATCGTAACATGCTCTTCATTAAATTGCTATGTTGCCGCTTTACAGAGCTGCTTCGGAGAATTACCATTACTTAAATTTCTTAAATTTTTCTGTTTTATAAGCTCACACTTCTGAATAATTTTACAATGATGATTAATTTTTTTATTAATAATTTATATGTCTTTGATATCAACAATTTAATTTTGTTAAGATCTTTTAGCTTTATAATAAATATCCTTTGGTAGAAGTAAATAAATAATTAAACTAACATAACACTGTTATAGAAATATGTAAAATGTAAAATTAATAACTAAATATTATCATCGATTTTAATAAATAAGTTTAATAAATAAAGATTAGCAAATTAATAGATGGGATTATTTTACATCTTCTTTTTAGATACAAAATAATAGGAAATTAATGATTTAAGATTTTTAGAAAGAATCAATATCATGAAGTATCCAGCTTAATCATGTTTTTAAGAGATTTATGCTATTTTCAATTTGAACTCCCGGAACACTAAAAAGTTATCGATGAGAACGATAACGGCTACCGACGTCTCGATCGGTTCGATAAATTCAGCTTATCGGAGAACTCCGTCTTTTATCTACGTGTCCCCGCGATCTTATCGTACTCTCGCTGAATCAGCCGGCATAAACGAATGAATCATGAGCAAAATTGTTAAAAAAGGTTCGCGGCGACGCGGGAGATCGCACGCGAGAGCTTGCTGCGGCGGCGAGGATCTGCAGAGCCTGCAGACGTTGAATCTAATCGGACGCGGGGGTGGAAGCAGTCGGCAGCGCAGTCCTAATCCCGCGCCAGGTGGCCCAGGTCAGGATCAGCCAGCATCCGTAGTGGACTATAGACGGTTGGTCTTCATCAGCTCGGATTCATCGTCGGGCCGCGAGGAGGACGACGCCGACAGTAGTTGCTCGAGCTCATCCTACCTGAACGGATTGCCGCGCAACGGAGGCCACCATCATCACCACGCACAGTCGCTCGAGGACTGCGACTGGGACTACTTCGAGAGCGGCTCCTTGCCGTTGCCGACGACGCCGATCGTCAGCGTCGGCGCCGGTGTCAACATCGCCGGTACAGCAGACGCCGTCGGTCAGGACGTGTGGAGTTGCTGTCCAGGACGTGGTTCCGCTGCTTGCCAGGTACCTTCATTATTATTATTATTATTATCATCATACCTTCATTATTATTATTATAATACATCTCACATACGATATGCTCGAAAGAATTTGAATTAGATCGATACAGAAATTTGACATATTTATTAAATAAATCTGAAAAACATAATTTTCATTATATTTCTCTCTAAGCATTCATTAAAGATTAAAATATTGAAGATCCGCAATAATAAAGCTTATTTTAATTCTTTTATGCATATTGTATATGATTTGTAATAAATATTTTATGGTGATTTTCTGTATTTTTAATAAATTTTTAAGAAATATAATATAATGTTACTTGATATAAAATATGCGTTAAATATGCGTACTCGATTTTTGTAATAAAATAAATAAATAAATCGAACAAAAAGATGATATGAGCGATGAAAAAAGTTTTTCATGGATATGAACACGACTCATGTGACCGCAACTGAGTGCCGCTGGCTGCGCATCCGTTTGACAAAAACGCATTGCCGCAGTTAAATTAATCATTCACGTTCTACTAGCGAACAGAGTCGCACAGCAGCTATGCGGAATTCACGGTCACACTTTGTCAATAAACCGTGCTTGGATACTCGTATATCGAGCGACGCCTCATGCTGATTATACTAATCGATAAACGCTTTGAGCGGATTGTCACCGTTTGCTTTCAAGTTATTAACCCATTTCTCTATTGACATTTACAAATGGGACATATTTAGAGAAAACAAAAGATTTAATTAATACATTTTTAAGTTTCATGCAATAAATTTTAATAAATGATCAAAAAGTAATTCATAAATTTTTTCTATATTTTTATCCAAAGACACGAGATTGAAACAAGAAATACATAAAATATAGTTTCTCTTTTTCGATTATTGTCTTTTATTGTTATGATTTGATTATATAATTTTAATTAAATTAAACATAAGGTATACAAAAATATTTGACATTTATTTATACATAATTAAAATTAAAATAAAATTTGTATATAAAAATATAAGAGACTAAAAAAAGAAATAAATCAATTTTGAATAAAATTAAGTGTAAATATATAAAAATATGTTTAGTTAACGAAAAAGAGAAATAAATGCAAATGAAATATAAGAAAGAAGTACAAAAAATTTTAAGAGATATTAAAGATAAAATTTCTATTATGAAAGAATATCGCGAGCCATTATCCTGTCGTTCTATCCAGGCCTGCGGTGGTTCCCGAAGCGCGAACGTGCTTCCGGTACCGGTGCCCATACCGGTCCCGGTCCCGTATCCAGTGCCGATACCGGCCGCTCTGTGGACCGGCGATTTTGCAGCGGCTGCGTCATCCATGATAAGTCGCAACGACGGTCATGCCGAGTCGGGAACTTTGAGGCTACGAGGTGATCCGGCGGCACCCTGGTTCGCCTGGCATCCTCGATTCAACCAGCCCCTTCATGGTACGCGTCTGGATCCACGGCTAGCTGGCACCTTCGATCCAACTACTTGCACCTTCCGTACGCCGGATCAAGTATTGACTTCGAGACTGTACGTTCCGATAACTGAGACAGTAACGGCTCCGCCAACGAATCTCGAGTCACCGCAAATAGGTCAGGACGTAAAAGATGAAGCAAAAGTGGTGTTAAAGACTGAAGAATTCAGGAAGGAAGAAAACTCATCTGCGAAAGATATCAATGAATCTGGTTCCTCTGTCACGAAGAGTAAACAGAGACTAGAAGAAACGAAGAACATCGAAGCAGAGTGCAAGAAGGGTGATGAAGAGACGGAAGAAATAGAAGAGAACGAAGAGGCCGCTTGTGAAGATTCATTGTCGTCGTCCTTTGAGAAAAGCGCGCAAGGAATGTATCAACATTCGCGAGAGGACTCGGGCAGCTCGTCCGGGAGATCCTCGGCGGACAGCAGCGATCTGGAAGAGGATTCTAGTTCGCATAGATTCTCCAGGGTGTTCGTAGTGAACGATGACTCGCTTACTAGTGACAACGATATCGAAGACAATGAGGAAGATGATTCGGATTCTGCGGCGGAAGGTGGCGTGACCTTGAAACGCGTCACTGCGATTCCTGAAGAAGAGCCGGTGGTATTACAACATGTAAGACACTTAAATGAGGATGTTCTCATGGATAATGAACGAGAAACGAATAAAAATGAATTGGAAGAATCTAAAAGACATTCCAAGTCTTATATCGTCGGCAACGATCAGCCTAAAAGTGATGATAAGTTATCGGATGAATCTGTTGCTAATTTGACTGACAAACGAAAATATCGTAATAGAAAAGATGGAACTAATAATAATAATGTTAAGCGATTTCCTCTTTTACTGCAACGTCGTTCGAATCCTGAAGAACTCTATTTAGCGGACGATAATGATTGTTCTGATAATCGAATTGAATTAAAATCCATCAGGATGCTCGATCCCGATAGTATTGATCTCCCAACGGCTGTTTTAAAAATAAACGAAAAACCTATTTCAAAAATACAGGTCTACTCCGAAGAGGAAGCTGTCGATGCATCGAAGGAAACATTGCAGAACGATCTGATCGAAAGTCCAAAGTCATCTTCGAGCGATGCTTGGGATTCCACCATTGTACCAGATTCTCTCGAAGTTTCCTCCGAAATTTCAGTTCCCGAAGAGACTGATGCCAACTATCAAGTTTCCGATAACGAACAGAATACACAATTGATCATAATGAACGATTGCGACGAGCGAGGAGATAAGCAACGTTTATCAGAAGCAAATCGTTCGACGAACATCGACGTCATTGCCGACGCGTCTGCCGACAGTTGCACTAGCAACGAGAGCAACACCACAGGCAGCGAGGTGAGCAGCGACGAGCTTCACGAGTACGAGGTGACTCCGGCCGAGTTATCCTTCGATTACAATAACGAGGTCGCCGCGATCAACAACGAATTACTGTTTCAAATCGGCAAGAGGAAAACGGAGGATACGTCGAGAGGCATCAAGGAGAACGGTTATCATCTCCGCGGTGATCGTGATGACAAAACAAATCCGACGATGACGAAGAACGGCGCCAAGCGGAGCGTGCAGTCTGACCAGAGACTGATCAGCGGGCGGTCTTCAATAGAGTCGATGATCGACGTGAAGGACGACAACGACGACGATGAAGACGACGACGAAGGCTATCGCTCCGTTACGTGTCGTCGCAGCGGTCAAGATGGCGGGCCAGGAGACAACGACCCGACGGTGGCGGCGGGCGAGGAGCGCATACGAGCCGACGTGGGCGATGCGATTTCCACCAGCAGGATCCAGGAGATGTTGAGAAGCGCGGAGGAGCAAGACGGTGACGGCAGCAAGGTGGACATTGCGCATGACGGCCCGGTGAGAGGCGATATCGCTCAGGTGGGAGGAAATGGTGATGGTAACAGTGGTAGTGGTAGTGGTGAATGCCCCGAGGAGGGGGACGCGACACGGTTTCGCTCAGTCGAGCGACGCCCGTGCACTCGGCAGGAGAATGGATTCCCAGCTGACGGCCAAGCGTCGGCCAAGGACCTTATCAGAGATCCAGCCCAGCATAACAACAGCGGTAACAATACGAGTGGTAGTAATAAATATAGAAGCCTCGTGATGATTACTCAGGAAGCGTCATACCAACCGGTGAGCGTCGTCACGTCAGACACCACGACGTTGCTGCAACCAGATGAGATCCATTCGACTGGAGGCCAGGGAGGTCTGGCCAGTTACTTTCAGCTGGCATTGGAGGCGGTGAGCGAGCCACAGCTTCGTAAGAACGCTCCGCGCAAACCGCTGATGGTGAAAAGACTACCAACCGCGGTCGCGGTCTCTGCCGTCGCGACGGGTCATCAGTCAGCCGAGCCTGAAGTAGATAGTGGGCTGAGTGTCGGTAGTGCTAGTGAAAGCGACGACGTGTCCGTGAAGAACGTGCCGAAACCACTCAATTGTCGGCAGGAGAATGCGGATGACGTGTCAAAGGATCGTTCCGTGACGGATTACCGAGAGAACGCGAATCTACGTGCCTCGTCGCAATCCAGCGACGATAATTTGAATACGAGCGGTGTTATTATACTCGAGGAAGGTCTAGCCGACGATGATTCTTGGGTGGAAGAAGTGTCGCATGATGAAGACGAACCGGGTGCGACTACTGCCACGGAAGAAAGTTCCGAAGATGAAGCCAATAATTTCGGCGATCGCGAAGAAGAACTCAGAGGTTATCGCAGACAGGCGATCGACTTCACTTTGCATACCATTGTCGAGGAATCTTGCGAGGAAAGTGAAACGGAGCCGAGTCTGGCAGCCGGAAGTCCCTCTAAGAAACCAAGACCACCGTCCGCTTCAGAATTGGAAAAATATTTCTTCTTCGGTTTGGGAGGTGATGGAAATAGTTCGAGTATGGGCTCGCGCGAAGTCGACAGCTTGTCGGAAACTTCATCGATTCATTCTGAAGGGCTAGAATCGCTCGGCCAGGATGAAACTAACGGTAGTGGTCAAAGTCAGGACAGATTAAACAATGGTGACAGTTTCCTGAGTTCCTCTAGACTGGAAAAATACTATTTATCAGAATTTCTCGGCTTTGATCAGGATAGAAGAGATTCCGATGGTTCGGTAGGAAGTGATTCCGAAGGCCGACCTAGTCCAGAAGCGCAAAGAAGAAAAAAATTAGTGCGTGCGAGAGGTACAGGCAGATCTCACAGTTCTTCTCTGGATAATCTGTTGGCTCTCACGCAGAGCTCGCAAAATCTGAGTTCGCAAAATTCTCTTCAAGACCTGAGTCTTAATCAGGACGCGCAAGAAACGCAGTCTGAAGGTTCTTCGACGGAAACTGATGGTACAGAAGACGGCCAGACCGCAGTTTTTGGCACGGATGGTCAGTTCGACACAGTGAAACGTAAGAAGAAAAAACCACGAAATTTAGGAACTCAAAGTCCACGCGTGCCAGACGATCGAAACAAGACGCCGGAACCCAGTAGAGAAATGGCACTGATGAGCGAAGTTGTAATAGAAAACGAGAACGAGGCGATGAACTCCGAGGATTCGGACAGAGCAAAAACTCCGCAACCAGAGTCCATTCTGTCTTCATCCTCTTCGCCGTCCACTCTTACAAATAGTAGTAATACTCTGAACGTAGCCTCGTCCTCGCAAATAGATTCCTCGAGAAACTCGGTTTCGGTAAATTCTAATGACGGTCAACGATCGAAGCAGCAATCGCGAGACTCAGGCTTCGTCGGCAGTTGCGATGATCTTCTTCAACATCAGAAATTGCCAGACGAAAGTCAAACAAGTAATATTGAAGTTGATCAAGAAATCGGCAAAGATCGCTCGCTGAATAAGACCTCGGAGCATTCTCAGAACGCGAACCAAAACATTGTTAAGGAAGGAGCGATTGGCAAGAACAACTTGACGAAACATCCGGTGAATCACGCGAGTCTGCCGCACCTGGCGAATGCCTCGCTGTCACGCAAGGATAGTTTCAATAACTGGTCTAGCGACGAGGAGACGAATCTCATGATGTCTAAGATGCGACAGTTCTTCAAAACAATGGTAGCCAACTCGAACGGCCAAGGATCGGGCCAGGGACAAAACTCTACCAATGCAAATTCTAGCGGCGCCTCGCCGGCACCGAGTCCTCGACTGCCGGGTTACACTTCGAAAGCGCGACTTTGCGTCCAGAACCGCACTAAACCGCCGCAATTGGTATACTTTGAAAATGAGCTAACGCGATTGATGAAAACGGTACCGGGAATACGCGACGAACAAGTGCGAGAGATAGTCGAGTATCTCAGCTCGGAAGACACGTGGTCAGATTCTTATGACAGCTCAGATTATACTAGCTCCGATCTCGAGGGCGCTGCCGGAGGCCGCCGATCAGCCCTGCAAGAACAGATCTCGCAGAGTTGCCAACAGATCATCAGCAAATTTGACACCACTTCCACTGGTGGTGATACGACTCTATCGGATAAAGAGAGAGAGCAGATAAAAGGACCAGGTTCGGGTTCCACGATGCAACCTGCGCCCTGTCTGGGCAGAGATACCGCTTTTGTTTACCAGAAACTGGTGCAGAGCTTTACAAAAATGGCTGGTGACGGCGTGAGCTCGGACGCCAATTCCACGCCGCACAGCAGCCCGCCACTGATCGCTAAAGTAATGCATCACATTGGCAGTCGACTGGTAGCGCTAATGCACGAGGTTTCGGAGGGAGGACCGGCAGCACATCATCATTCCACCACCTGGCGACGATATTCTCAACACCACCGAACTCCATCCTCTGCGTCCACCACTGAGGACGATGACTCAACATCCGATTCCACCAATGCGCCTTCATCGGCGCACTTGCAGTTGCCGAGATCGAAATCTCACGATCCTTTGTTATTAATCAACAGCCACCCAGCAGTCTCTACCGGTCAGGAAGGGGAAGAACGAGAGGCCAGCGATTATGAAAGATTCTCCTGGCGCGGCAGTTTCGAGTCCGCACTGATGGCCGCCGACTCGAGGACAAAATTGAGCCTGTTAGCGTGTTCCGGTGATGTTAGTGGTGGTGGCAGTGCTAGTGCAAGTGCGAGTGCCCTGGCCGCAAAGCGACGCAGCGCCGGCGATTTGCTATTCAATCCGAAGAGCTTCTCCAGAGAGCAGCTCGACAGGGTGAGAAGTTGCGGCTCGATCGGTGGCGGAAGCGGGAGCGGGACCGGCGGAGCTGGCGGCGGTTCCGTCGAAGAGAGAATTTGGAGCAACCGGAGAAGATCTTCTGTTCCTGACGCTAACACCAGAGGGGAATCAGGTGAGCCCGAGCGTGACTGTCTCCGCGTATGTGTGACTGAATGGATATGATGTGTACTTCTTCACGCGGAGTGATCTTGCGCAGATCGTATTACATTGCGGAAACGGCGGTAATTGGCGTTACAGCTCGATTTTGCCTCTCCAACTCGAAGCAATCCCGCAGGTTGTTCGACCGTTCCTTTTCCGCAATTACGCTTTAGACTGAATACGTTAGATGTTGTAGCCAGATCAGTCCCGATAATGGGCTTATATTTTATGTGAAATGAATAGAGCGCACACGCAGCTACGGGTCTAACTTAATTGTACTTATATTGGTAAATTAAGTCAGAATTAGGAAGCGTGAAAGCAACTCCGCCTTGTGTGTTTTATGCCGCACGCGATTCCGAGTCTGTTTTACTTCGTTCTTTAATAAAAATAAATTTACTGATAAACAGTGAAATTACATGAGAAAAACATAAAACGTAAACAAAATAATAAAAGTACCAACTATATATCCGGGGTATTTTATGAGCTATTTATTAAATTGTTATTGTGGATATTTATCGAGATCAAATTCCTGAATTAAAAAAAAAAGTTTTATCGCGAAACTTATATACGCAAACTTATATAAGCAAATTTAATCGAATTTGAAATCTACAATAATTTTTTATATGTATGAAACGAAAAGAAAGTTACTCGAGGCTTGCTAATGAATACGATTTTTTTCTATAGAATTACTTTCTCAGGTCTCATCATCGTAATCATGAATGAATGAATGAATGACGCCTCATGAATGTATAATACTTATGAATAAATAATTTCGATACACGCGTGCACGACTTACGAATACCAATAAATATACATTTCTAATATGAGTCAAATAAAATGGAACGGCATTGTACGCAAATAGTAAATTTAAAGGTTGCATATCTAATGAATTCGCAGATAACATTTATCTAGATCACACTTAAAATGCGATCATGTAAATTGCACAAGAGCTAGTTCATTTCCAAATGCGTTAACATTGTTATCGTTGTCCGATACACGAAAAACGATTGTTTTATCGTGCAGGTGCATCGGCCGGCGACGAGGACACCGAAGACGAATTGGAATACGGCGGGGAATCACGAGCGACGACTCTACCACGTGGCATGCAATCCGCCATCAGTGCAGCCACCAATTCTCTGCCGCGACTACCCGCATCAAGCGCGCCGACCGGCCTGACGACGACGTCGTCATCGTCGTCGTCGTCGTCATCGTCGTCGTCGTCGTCGGCGGCGGCGGCGGCGGCGGCGGCGGCGGCGGCGGCGTCGTCCTCGTCACCGATGCACAAGGCGCACAG